AGGGGTTAACTGAGTTCTCGCTGGCCCTGGCGAACCCAGAGGTGGCTGTGATGGGTGGGTCACGTCTGGTCTCTGCGTGCCAGGTCCCCTGGCCCTGCTCACTGGGTGAGACTCCTCCCCATGGGGTACCTGCCCGTTAATCTGGGTTGCCATGTGTGGGGCCCCCCCCCAATGCTGCTCAGGGTTGGCAGCTCTAATGCGGCCGTGCCACTAGCCTGCCTGCTGCTGGCTAACCTGCCCTGTCGCCCGCCCTGCCCAGGTTTCTGTCGATGCTGGAAGAGGAGATCTACGGGGAGAACTCGCCCATCTGGGAATCTGACTTCACCATGCCGGCCACGGAGGGCGCCCCACTGGTCCCACGCCCAGGTACTTGGCTGGGAAAATGCCCGAGCGCCCCGGGAGCAATTGAGGTCATGCCACGCCAGCTCCATTGCAAGCGGGTGCTTGGCTTGGCTTGGCACGGGCCGATGGTCTGGGCTGCAGAGGGCCAGTGCAAACGCGTCCTGTCCAGGGCCACGTGGGCACCGACCCCGGGGCGGGAGGCTGTGGGCGAGCGGGTTCGGTTAGTGAAAGGTTCCGTTCTCGTTCCCAGCAGCCGTCAGCACCGTGGCCGTGCCCAGCACCCCGATGTTCAGCAAGAAACTCTGCAGCAGCTCCTTGTCCTCCATGAGCCTGGACGCCAGCACGGCCGAGCCCGTGCCAGGTAATGCCAGCCCCAGCTGTGGGTGCGCGGAGGGGCTGAGACGGCCCTGGGGCCCTGCTGGGCGGCACAAACCGTTATGGCCCCAACGCCTCTGGGACTGGCCGGGGGCTAGTGCCCGAGGACTCAGCGCCCTGGGAGGGGTCAGCCTCCGGCCAGCACCACCTCCCCTGGAGCCAAAGGGGCAAAGCGCTGCCCGCCCGGGGTGATCCGCAGTTAACCCGTGAGAGTCCATGGGGTTGCTCGGGTCTGTGGGGGGCAGGAGGGGGGCGCTGCCGTGAGCAGACAGGTTCTGCCCTCGCGATACATGTGGAGGCCCGAGTGGATCGTCGTCAGCCAGCTCGGGAACAGCCTGGCACCTGTCAGTCACAAGCCGTTCAGCTCAAAGGGGGGAAATGAAAGAACAACCTTTAGATCCTCGTCTGTCCCCCGCCCCCCAAGCCTAGACTGCCTGGGACGGGACGGGGATGCCGTGCCCACTTCCCTGGCCGGCAGCGCCACGCAGGAAGCCATGGAGCACCCGGTCGGCCTGGCCCCTGCGGGGTGACAGCAAGGCCTCCCAGCCGTGCTCACGCCCCAGCAGCACCGGTTCCCGTGGGCCCCAGCCCTGCCGCGCTCTGGCTGCTGCTGCAGGGTTCGGGTGCGGTGGCTGCCGACTCCCTTGCCATGTGGCTTGGCGGGAGGCGGCGTCCTGAGCCACGTGGGGCGGGAGATGCAGGGAAGCGAGTGGCCTGTGGTCCTGCCAGCGTGACCATCCTCTGCTGCCCGAGCAGGCGAGAAGCGGAAGCTGCCCGAGAGCCTGACGCTGGAGGATGCCAAGCGGATCCGGGTCATGGGCGACATCCCCATGGAGCTGGTCAACGAGGTGATGCTGACCATCACGGACCCGGCCGCCATGCTGGGCCCGGAGGTACGGGGCAGGGAGCGGCGAGGATGGGCGTGGGCCCTGCAGTGCTGGGCCAGGGTTGCTGGCGACCGTAGGAGCGGCTGTGCCAGACCTCGGCTGGCGCCTGCTCTGACCCCATGTTGGGGCCTGGCATGACTGTTGTGGGGGTGGGGGCGGGACTGGCAGCCGCCAAGGAGCAATCCAGTGCCATGCTGGGCGGGAGGGTCCGGGCTTGCCCTGGGCAGCTTGGCCTCTATATATTCCCCTAGGCTGGCTCCTGGCTGGGCGTCAGTGGGCCGGGGGGTGAGGGGGTAAGTAGGCAGGGCTTTGTCCCTTACACCCCCCGCTCTGCCCCCAGACCAGCCTGCTGTCGGCCAACGCGGCGCGGGACGAGACGGCGCGGCTGGAGGAGAGACGCGGTATCATCGAGTTCCACGTCATAGGCAACGCGCTCTCGCAGAAATCCAACAAGCGGATCCTGATGTGGCTGGTGGGGCTGCAGAACGTCTTCTCCCACCAGCTGCCCCGCATGCCCAAGGAGTACATCACCCGCCTCGTCTTCGACCCGTACGTGGGGCGGGGGCTGCTCCAGCGAGCCAGGCTCTGGTGGGGGGTGGGGGGGGCTGCTCTGGGGAGCCGGGCTCGGGGGGGGGGGGGGGGGGGGGGC